CCAGTCAGGATGGCTGCTATCCAAAAGTCTACAAGCAATAAATGCTGGAGAGGGTGTGGAGAAAAGAGAACCCTCTTACACTGTTGGTGGGAATGCAAACTAATATAGCCACTATGGAGAACAATGTGGAGATTCCTTAAAAAACTGGAAATAGAACTGCCATATGACCCAGCAATCCCACTTCTGGGCATACACACCAAGGAAACCAGATCTGAAAGAGACACGTGCACCCCAATGTTCATCGCAGCACTGTTTATAATAGCCAGGACATGGAAGCAACCTAGATACCCATCAGCAGACAAATGGATAAGGAAGCTGTGGTACATATACACTATGGAATATTACCCAGCCATTAAAAAGAATTCATCTGAATCAATTCTAATGAGATGGATGAAACTGGAGCCCATTATACAGAGTGAAGTAAGCCAGAAAGATAAAGACCAATACAGTATACTAACGCATATATATGGAATTTTAAAAGATGGTAACAATAAAAAGTAATGATTTTCATTCTTCCATCATCTAATGTAGCAAATGCACAGTCAGAATCTGGTAAGGATAGAAAAATTGCTTAATTGACTGACTGACAAAATGTCTTAAATTAGGAAGGAAGAGATCCCCAAGCCACCAAGTAACAGAGTGATATTTTGAAAACACACATCTGCCCAGGTCTTTCCTCTGCTCAGAACCTTCAATGGCTCCCCACTGCCCTTGTGGGAAAGTCTGTCCAGGTCTTTCCTCTGCCCAGAACCTTCGATGGCTCCCCACTGCCCTTGTGGGAAAGTCAAAGCTCCAAAGTGGGCACCAGCTTTGACCAAGCACTCACTGCAACATGCTAGGTACACACACTGCAACATGCTAGGTACACACACTGCACCTTTAATTCTCACAACAACCCCATGAAGAAGGTGTTCCACAGATGAGACTGTGAGGCCCAGAGAAGTTAAGACATTTGCTCAGGGTCACACTGCTGGTGTGAACCAAAGCCAGAGTCCATGCTTGTAAGCCCTACACTAAACCACAGCTCCAGTCCAGGGCCATCGCCCTAGCTCACCTAACCCTACAGCCCACACATCTCCTCCCCATTGTGTGGAGAGGACGCATACCCCCAAATGTCCTCTGCTATGGTGTCTGACACACCACACCCTTCTTTCCTTGACAAACACCCCTCATCCCAAAACTAGTGAGAGGCCTCCCTGGCACTCCCTTGCTACTGGGTGACTTTGTCGAACCATCGAGCCCTGGTGCTGGCAGTGTCTGTTTTGTTGATTGTCTCCCCCTTGACTGACTCCTCCACAGAGAACAGACCATGGCTTTTCACCCCTGGACTCAGAGTACTGAACACAGGGCTTGTTGTGTGGGGGGCGAAGGGAGGAAAGAAGGAAGGAAAAGAGGGGGGAGGAAGGGAAAGTGGGAGGGCAGAAGGAAGTTCTTTCTGATCCCCTAAGGCTTTCCGCATTGTCACTGGAATCTCTAGAAGACTGTCCTCATGGGATGGGATAAATTGCACACCCCTGGAATGAATTGCATTCATTTGCTGGCACTTCCAGAACAAAATATCACAGATTAGGTGGCTTAAGTAGCCGAAATTAATTTGCCCCCAGGTGTAGAAGCCAGAAGTCTGAGATCAGGGTACTGGCACATTGGTTCCTGCTGAGGCCTCTCTCCTTCCCTGCAGACGGCCACCTCCCTTCAGTACCTTCACACTACAAGTCTGTCTCCTCCTCTCCTCTTCTCACAAGGACACCGGTCCCGCAAGATTAGGGCCCACCCTAGCGACATCCAAGAAGGACCATAAAGAAGGGAGAGCGCTGAAGAATTGATGCTTTCAAACTGTGGTGCTGGAGAAAACTCTTGAGAGTCCCTTGGACTGCAACAAGATCAAACGAGTCCATCCTAAAGGAAATAAACTCTGAACATTCATTGGAAGGACTGAAGCTGAAGCTGAAGCTTCAATACTTTGGCCACCTAATGCAAAGAGCAGACTCATTGGAAAAGACCCTGATACTGGGAAAGATTGAAGATAGGAGGAGAAGGGGGTGACAGAGGATGAGATGGTTGGATGGCATCACCCATTCACTGGACATGAACTTGGGCAAAGTCCAGGAGATGGTGAGGGACAGGGAAGCCTGTCATGCTGCAGTCCATGGGGTCGCAGAGTTGGACACAACTTGGTGACTGAACGACAATAACAAGATGACCTCATTTAGCCTTAATTACCTCTGTTAAGATTCTGTCTCCAAACAATCACTGGCTGAGGTCCTGGACTTTAGGGCTTCAACATGTGAATGTGAGGGACACGATTCACCCCATAATAATTATCAAAACTCAAGGTGACCCCTTCAAACAAATTGCCCTTGGAGCGCCTGCCCCGTTCCAGAGATGCCCCCCTGAAGACAAACTTCTGCCAAGCTCGCCTGGCACATCCTCTCAAAGAGCTTCACTTGTGAGGATGTGTTTGATCTCAAGATCGTAAGGTCACCAAGAACTGACTGTCAGTCACCTGGATGCAGGTGGAGGCCACTTTTAATAAAAGATGGAGATTTAAAAAATGGCATCATTGGCCCTCAGAAGTGAGACATTCGTCCTAAAGGACATTCCTCAATGGGGAATGCATAAACATTTTGAGCAATAACAGTATACCTGGATCAAGCTCGTGGTTTTTCAGGGTGACTTTTGTGGAGACAAACCATCTGAGAATGTTTGTGTATGTATAAAGAATGTATACATGTCTAAGAATGTATACTCAATGGACATGGGTTTGAGCAACTCTGGGAGAGACTGAAGGACAGGGAAGCCTGGCATGCTGCAGTGCAAGGGGTCACACAGAGTTGGACCTGACTTAGCAACTGAACAACAACATAAGAATGTGTGTGTGTGTGTGCGTGTAGAGAATGTGTGTGTGTGTGTATACATAACTGAATCATTTTGCTGCACAGCAGAAGTGAACACAACATTGTAAGTCAACCACACTGCAATTAAAAAAAATAATCACGGCATCTTGGTTGTGAATTTGGGCCAGTCATTTGTCCCCTCTGTCCTTAGTGTGATGATCCAACAGCTGTGCTTGTGGAGATGTTGAAAGCACTACACGAAGTGAAATGCAAAAGTCCAATAAAAACACTACTTGTTACTTTTGCGGTTATGTCAACTCTGATAGCCATCACCAGGGATTTCGGCCAAGAATGGAAGTTATGCTGGAGACTCATCTTGGGTCTTCTTCAAACATGAGGTTTTTCTGAGTCTAAGCTACAGATTTAAATTACATATCAAGTCCTTCCTTTCTTAGCCACACCAAGTTGACCAAGGTAGAGAAAGAAATTCTCGTACTTTTCTAAAGATTTTAATCCACAAGTAAGCAAACACACCAAAAAAAGAAAAGTGTCTCAGTGACTCAGAGCAGAGACTGTAATGGCATGAAGTTTTTTGGGGGGATGATGAAAATGTTCTAAAGATTATGAGTATGGTTGCACAGCCCTATGAATATACCAAGCCACTGAACTGTACAATTTAAATCAGTGTGGGATGTGAATTATATCTCAATAAAACTGTTAATTAAAATTCCCCAAGCCTTTTCACATGGACTCCAGCCTGGCTGAATTTCCTGACTCTTTATCAGTGTAAGTTCTGCCCCTTAAGATTCCCACAAAAGTGGCCACAGGGACATAGTCCCACTGTACAGAGGAGGTGGCCAAAAGACCGTCTTAGACACCCTGGGATACACTTGACAGACATCAAAGCAACATAAACAAACATCATGTGGTTTACCTGCAACAGAGTATGCACTGCGTGGGTGGCAGGGAAAACTCCTTCAGTGGCTGATAAACATTCAGAAAATCCAATGAAGTACCCCATTTTAAGGCATCCCAGGATGATGGTAACGACTGCAAACAATGTGACACTACCTGAATGGGGTGGGGAGGTGGTAGAAACACATACATGTGTTAATATGCACTGACATCATTTCAAAATACATTATATTAAGCCCTCATATATACATTCAAATGATTTTTGACAAGGGTGCCAAGATGGCTCAACTGGAAAATGACATTTGTTTCAAAAACTAACGCTCGGAAACTGGGTATCCACATGCAAAAGAGTGAAGCTGGGGACTTCCCTGGTGATCCAGTGGCTAAGACTCTGTGTTCCCAAAGCAGGGGGCCCGGGTTTGATCCCTGACCAGGGAACTAGATCCCACATACCGCATCTAATAAGACCCAGGGCAGCCAAATAAATTGTGTGTGTGTGTGTGTGTGTGTGTGAGTTGTTCAATTGTTCAGTCCGACCCTGCAACTCCATGTACTTAGCCCACCAGGCTCCTTGTCCATGGAATTCTCCAGGCAAGAATACTGAAGTGGGAAGCCATTCCCTTCTCCAGGGGATCTTCCCAACCCAGGGATTGAACCTGTGTCTCCCACATTGCAGGCAGATTCTTTACTATCTGAGCCACCAGGGAAGCCCAAATGAATAATTTTTTTTTTAATGAAGCTGGATGCTCACCTTACAGCATATATAAAAATTAACTCAAAATGAAAACTGTTAGTTTTTCAGTCATGTCCCACTCTTTGCGACCCCTGGACTATAGCCTGCCAGGTTGCTTTGTCCATGGGATTTTCCAGGCAAAAATACTGGAGTTTGTTGCCATTTCCTTCTCCAGTGGATCTCCCCAACCCAGGGATCGAACCCAGGTTTCCTACATTGTAGGCAGAGTCTTTACTATCTGAGCCACCAGGGAATGAATCAAAGAACTTATTCTAAAACCTAAAACTATAAAATTTTAGAAGAAAACATAGGAAAAAATCCTTATAATATTGGCTTTGGCAATGATTTATTGGATATGACACCAAAAGCGCAAGCCACAAAAGTAAAAAATAGTTACATTAGTCACTCAGTTATGTCTTACTCTTTGCCACCACTATAGAGTCCATGGAATTCTCCAGGCCAGAATACTGGAGTGGGTAGCCTTTCCTTTCTCCAGGGAATCTTCCCAACCCAGGGATTGAACCCAGGTCTCCCACATTGCAGGTGGATTCTTTACCAACTGAGCTACAGGGGAAGCCCACATTAAAATGAAAAAAAAACCTAGGCATCAGAGGACTCTATCTACCCACAGAATGAAAGAAAATATTCACAGACCACATATCGGATAAGGTGAGAGTATCCAGATTCTATGAAGAACTACAATATAACCATTTTATTAAAAAAGCAATTTAAAAAAATAAGCACAGGAATAGACTAGACATTTCTCCAAAGAACACATGTAAATGGACATTTAACACATGAAAAAATATTCAACAGCACTAGCCATTAGGGAAAGGAAAATGAAAATCACTGTGAAAGACCATCTCACATGCATTAGGATTGCCACTACCCAAAAAAAAAGAGAGAGAAAAAGGATGGCAGGGGGGAAGGAGCGGGGAAGGGGGAGGGGAGAGGAGGGGAGGAGGGAAGGAAGAAAGACAGGAAGGAGGGAGCGAGGGAGGAAAGATGGGAAATAATAACAAAGATGTGGAGAAACCGGAATCCTTATACACTGGTGATGGGAACGTAAAATGGTGCAGCCGCTGTGGAAAACAGTATGGCAGTTGCTCAGAAAATTAAAAACAATAACTCCACATGGTCTAGCAATTCCACTTGTGGGTTTATACCCACAAGGATCAAAAGCGGGGACACAAAGGGATACGTGGTCACCCACGTTCACGGCCGCATCATTCACAAGAGCCTAAAGGAGGAAGCAACCCAAGCGTCTATCCTTGGATGAACGGATAAACAAAATGTGGCATGTCCATTCAGTGGAATGTGATTCAGCTTTGAAAAGGAAGGCCGTTGTGACACGTGATACCACCTGGATGAACCGTGAGGACATCATGGAGCTCAGCATCCATAAGTGAAATAAACCAGTCACAAAAAGACAAATGCTGCATGATTCCACTTACTCCTTGGAGTAGTTGCACTCACAGGAACAAAAAGTAAAACAGTGCCTGCCAAGGGCTGGGTGGAGGAGGAAATTGGGAGTTATTTAATGATACAGACTTCTCATTTTAACAAGATGAGAGTATTGAACATTAACTGCAATTAATTCACAAAAATGAATGTATTTAACACCACTGAACTGTACCTTTAAATGATTAAGCTGGTAAATTGTATGCTATGTTTATTTGATCACAATTTTAAAAAATTTTAATATATATGAAGCAAATTCTAATATTGGCCTCAGGAGCTAAAACTAGAAGAAAACATTATGCCTTGTTTACCATTGTACGGGCCTCAGGCATATTCTGGGGTCTGACAAATGATGTACATTCAACAGAATTTGGGCAAAACAAAAGAAGTCCTCTAGAAGCTTTTCCCATGCAAAATGATCAAACTAAGAGCGTCATTGTTTTGCTCAAAATATCTCAGTTCTTTGATCCTAAAAGCCTGTTCGCTAAAGAACAAAAGTAAGGGGTATAAGGTATACAGGAACTTGCTGTACTATCTTTGCAACTCTTCTTTGAAATAGAAAGTTTACTTTTTAAGAATGACAGGGACGTGTCTATAGTTGTGACATGTAAAGTGCTGTGCTAGTGACATGGAGAAAGGAAACACTCTTTGATGGTATATCCAGCAAGGTTGACAACAAATGAAAACAAACAAAACAGGCATATGAATAAGATTGTAAAGAAGTATGCAAAATACATTAAAAAAGGGAACTTATAACCAAATGAAGAAATTAGCAACAAAAGCATCATAACCGTGGGGACTTGATCAAGGCCAAAGTCCCTAGTCCCTCTTATGGGCCAACATCAATCACCATTCATACATTCTCTCCCACGAAAGCAGGAAACCAGATCGTGTGTGACATGGATTATGGCGAGAGAGAGAGGAGGGCCTGGTCCATCACAGGGAGCTATAACATTACAGCTCTGGCCTAAGAGGCCTCCTGTGAGGAGTAATGCAATCGCCTGGCTCCTTTCCACTGCTCAAAGCCTTAGAGAAACAACTCTAAGCCACATTTTTTTTTCCAAATTCTGGAAAACCCCCAGTGAAATCAGAAACTTCACAGGAGTGGAGATTCAATCCCAGGGCTTTGAAACAGTTAGACAAATGCATGGTTCCTTTTGATTACAAAGAGAAATGGCCAGATGAAGTGAGGCAGGCTGGTTGGGTGGCAAGGGCAGAGGCTGTAACTCTGGGGACCTGGCTGTGTCATGGACAAAATGTGTGAGTTCAGACAGGTCATTCCCAAACTCCTAGTCTTGGTTTTCCCATCTATAAACCAAGACTGGTCCACAGCCATGGTTCTCAAACTTGAGTCTGGGTCAGAATCACCTGGGGGACTTGTTAAAGCAAAGAGTATTGGGTTCCACCCCCTCCCCCCAGAGTTTCTGATTCAATAGGTCTGGGGTGGGGTGCCCAAATTTGCATCTCTAACAAGTTCTCAGGTAGAGTGTATGCTGTTGGCCTGGGACCACACCTGGAGAACCATTGACTTGGAACATCTCTGTCACTGACATTTCAAGAGTTGTGATAAGAACACCACATGCCTTCTCACCTCCTGCAGCCCTTCCTTCTTTCATCCATCCTCCCAACCATTTCTTTCTACAACAAATGTTTTAGGGACTCCTACTATACATGAGGAGCTTCCCAGTACAGTGGTGAAGAATCTGCCTGCCAATGCAGGAGACGCAGTTAGACATGGGTTCAAGCCCTGGGTGGGGAAGATCCCCTGGAAGAGGAAGTGGCACTTCACTCCAGTATTCTTGCCTAGGCAATTCCATGGACAGAGAAGCCTGGCAGGGTCCGGGGGTCCAGGAGGTCAAAAAGAGTCGGACACGACTGTGCAACAGAGCACACACACACTAGGCATGAGGCGTTTTGCCAGGTGCTCAAAGGTAAGCAAATAAGATCACTGGAGAAACAAAACCCACGCATATAACACTGCATAAATTGGGATGTGCAGAAGATATAGAGGGGAGAGCTGGCACCAGACGTCTCATCTGCATTGTGTGAAATCAGAAACCAGTGGAAGAGTAGCTAGAGTCCACTGCAAAGGAAGGACTGCAGTTGAGAAACCCTATTCCCAGGCAAGATGGTGCCCACGGGTCAGGGCAAAAGACAGAAAGATATGTGAAGATATGCCGAATATAATTGTTTGATACCTCTTTGTTGTTCAAATAAGATCCAGGTACTCGGGATTTAAAAACATCAATAAAATAAAGTAGATGTCCTTGGTGAATTTAACCTTGTAGTGGGGAGGACAGGAAAATAGGCAAATAAATTATAAACACAGAAGAAATGTCAGAAGTGACAAGTGCATGAGGTTGATGATGGTGGTCAGAAAAGGATTCTCTGAGAAGGTGACAGCTGAACTTACAAAAAAAAATGATGGGAGAAAACTATCCACAGAACTCACCTGACAAAGGGCTTTAACCAAACAATCAGGAGCCCTCTTAGGGAAGGAAGATGAAGAAGAAAGGGAGAAACAATGAGCAATAAGCTTTGCAACAGATTGAAGGGGTAGATGAATGTATAATGGAAGGAAAGAGAGAAGGAAGGGAGGGAGGGGGTAAATGGGTGAATGATGGATGGATGGATGGATGGATGGATGGGGATGATGGATGATGGAAGGAGGGATGGATGGATTATGGATGGATGCATGAGCGAATGGATGAATAGTCCAGATTAATTGAAATAAGAACAAGATGATAGAAGTTATATCCAAATGGATGAAGATAAACTGTCTGGAAATATGTAATTTACATGCTCTTTAAAGACTAAAGCTGGGGATGGACTGAGTGAGGAGCAGAACAACCTTTCAAAGTTCTCATGGTAAAGAGACAGGTACTAGGGGAAAAGAGGGAAACAAATGCATTCTAAAGGTCTCATCTCTTTGGAATCGAGAGGAATGGGAGGGTCTTGGAGT